GCAGGCCGCATTTGCGCCCAGGAACGACTTATGTTGGTAGGCCCTAACCACCATTCAGTGCAGGAATGAGGGAAACCTGGAAAACCTCATTAATTAGGGGGGTGGTCAAATGCCAACCGGTGTCAATCTCTCACATTGACCCAAGCCAACATTCTTTCACCCTACTATACCTGCATAGAGGGTGCCAATCCTCCGTACAAGCATAGCTAATCTACGGTCTACCGGCCGCGGGAATGAACCCGGGCAGAAATTTGCACACGATTTAAGTACTGACGCCTTAAATCGTGCGGCTATTGACCGACATGTATTACTATTTTCTATTAGTCCACCATGCACTCTTCAATTCGTCTCCTCTTATTTTTAATAACTCTCCTCAACTGATGTGGTGTTATTTGTCGACATGCTTGTCAATTATATTACATAAATCTTAATTAAAAAAATTTACGTGTTTTGTAGGATTTTATGTGATCGAATAATCGGGCCCTTCTTTTTTGCGTTAATCTAAACGCAGAGATTTTTATGAATATTTTAAACAATGATTTCTGAGATGCATTTCCTCTTCATGTAAGACAGAACCTCTACCTTCAATTATATGGAGCACCTATTCATAATGCGATAATAATACGTCATTAGTTGAATGAGTATTTCCCGAGAAAGTGGATAGGTCGCAACAGTCCGTTAGCTGAGTGGCCGTCAAGAGCTCCAGACTTGACGCCTCTTAATTTCTTTTTATGGGGAACTGTGAAATAGGTCATGTATAAAACAAGGCCCCAGAACATAGAAGATTTATGTAATAGACAAACATGACGACAAATATCACCACATCAGTTGAGGAGAGTTATTAGAAATAAGATGAGACGAATTGAACAGTGCATACCGAATGATATGGACTAATAGAAAACAGTAATATTTAAATATTATTTCTGGTATAATAAAAAAAATATATAATTTGCTTGTCCTATTGTGAGCACCCTGTATGAGTGAAATCAATGAAACTGTATGGATATACCATAGGTTAATAAAATTATGAAAAAATATTTTGAAAATATTTTCCACTGTTAATACAGGACACTGCAATACGTGCAATTTTTCGAAGTTTGCATCAATTTTGTGAACACCCTGTAAAAGCTATAATAATGAAATTTTGTTTTTTTTTTAGCGTTTTGAGATGTGATCAAACCGAAAATGCTATCCACTTCTTTCTTAAAAAATGCCTAATGTTTTTTAATTTTTAAGGATTTTTTCTTAATGATAGTAGGCCGTAGAAAATATCACATGTCAAAAAATATAATATCAAAAAGTAGGCCTCTTTGAGTACTACCACATAAAAAAAAGAATTTTGGAAATCGCCCAACGCCATCCTAAATACGGAGGTGTCCACACTTTTAAAGTGAAACACTGCATATTTCTTTCTAATGCTTAAAATATTGTTTTAAAATGTTTTCTCAAAGTATTTACAAATTGTTGCTTTTTATTGTACAGCTTTACCTTATTCCCACTACTTCTTCCTATCTTAGGGGATATTTTAGCGTTTTACTAAAAAAAATACCTGGTAAATCGGATTCGGATTCAGCATAAAAAAAATACACAAAATCTATGTATTCATGTCTCTGGTACCGAACATTTTTTTTGTGTAGCTGTGTAATTAATTGCATAATTATATTGGTTCAAGTATTTGATTTTTAATTTTTATTCAATAAATTTTCTTATAACAATTTCCTTACTAGCTTTGCAAAATCTATTATACAATATTGTCATTTGTAAGTCACAAATGTCCACAAAAGTATGCATTTGACTGTGGTATTACATGTTAAAATTGTTTTAGGATTCCACATCTAATAGCCAGAGATTACCAGGTGCAGTATTTTGTGCGTTATGTGCTCCGTATGTGAGATTAAGAAACATTTTTCCACTTATTGGTTCTAACACCAACTTTGAAAATTCGTTTCATAGTATTTTAAGTTCTTCGGATAATACTGGTTTACCAATTATGAATAGGCCTGACTCACATCATTACCCTATTCTTGTAGAACAAATGACATATAAAACTCAGGTTAGTATATTATTTTTTCATTTATGATAATTATTAGGTCCCTTAAGCAGATGTCCATTATTTTTAATTTTTTTCACCAATATGAATAAATATTGTTATTCTTTCCTATTTGCTTTGAAAACATATTTTAAAACAAAACAAAATGAATTTGTTAAAATTATTATATTTTTTATTTTATACACTGGATATAGCTACTTCCCGGATACTTGGAATATATTAATCCTTATAATTTTTCCCTGCGAAGGGAACCTATAAAAGTTGTTTAACTTTTTTATTAACAATAGGAAACAATTGCACTTCATGTTATAGTAATATAGATACATATTCTTTTAATAGAATACCCTACATATTTTTACATATTTGGTTTTCTTACAACAACTGTGGTATAAAGTTTAATAGATTTGTCGCTATTAATGAAGAAGTTATGTGTCATAAGCTTAATGTGAAAAACATTGTCAGTTGCTAGGCAACCGAATCATTAACTGACATTTGTCCTTTATTTTTACTTTAGAGGGAAGTAATTCAAATTGTTTAAAAATTTTCTAAAATTTTCAAAAAATGTTGAGAATACGAACATGTTGAAAATGAATTTGAATCAGCTGAACACTTTTGAGTTAAAGTAATAATAACACATTGATCTAGGTATAAAAAATAAAGAGAGAAAAATTTAGAGGTATTTATAATTATCATTTTTATTTTTATTTACAAAAAGTTGAAAGTTAAAAGTCTTGCATGCTGGAACTTTCCAAATTATGAGTATCTTGTCTAATTGTAACTTTTTTAAATCTAAAATGTAAGTTTAAAGACAAAGCTAAATGAATAAAGATAAATGCACATAATTAAAAAAGACATTTGCTGTTATTGCCATAAAATTCGTCATCCCAACATGAAAACCTAACAGCCGCAAAAAACTTTTGCAAAGATAGAAAATTGTACTTATAACCCGTTGTCCAAAAAATAAGGTGAATTTGTTTAAAAAATAAAAATAATAAAAAATAAAAAATCTTTATTTATGCTTCCAAATCAATTTCGTCGCCTTCAAAGTAATCCCCACCCGATACAATGCACTTATGCCAACGTTTTTTTCCAACTCTCGAAACAGTCTGAAAAGTCCTTTTTCGGTATGACCTTCAATGCTTTCGTCGATTCGGCTTTTATTTCCTCAATCGAGTCGCAACGTTGCCCAGAAGTCACTCGGTGCTAAATCAGGCGAATACGATATGAGTTGAATCTTTGGCGAAATGGTCGCGAATTGTCAATGCTGTGTGAGGCGGTGTATTATCACGATACAAAAACCAAGAGTTGTCTATCCATAATTCCGGCCTTTTGGGGCGAATAGCATCACGCAAACGACGCATAACACTCAAGTAATATTCCTTGTTAATAGTTTGGCCTGTTGGAAAAAATTCATAGTGCACTACGCCACGATAATCAAAGAAAACTATCAACATGGCCGTGATTTTTGAGTGACTGGCGTGGTTTTTCGGTCTTGGTTCACCTTTTGTACGATATTCACTCGATTGATCGACTGTTTCCGGGTCGTAAGGTTAGATCCAAGTCTCTTCTCCAGTAGTAATACGTTACATGACGTCTTGGTAATCAGAAATTGATAGATATCAACGCGATGCTGTTTTTCAAAAGAATTTGAGCCTTTTGGGAACGTAACGATATTTGACGCGTCTAAGGCACGACAAATCTTTCAAAATGGTATTTTGAAACTTGCATTAGCTTAATACATTTTAAGGTAAACTTACAAAAATATAACTAGTCTAAAATATTTTGTTTTAATATTAGAAGGTCGTGGTTATGTATTAATTTCAGGGATATTACTCGTGTTATAATGTTTTAGGTAAAGTCAAATTCTAATATAACTATTTTAGGTGGAGTCAAATTCTACACCTAATTATCAGTGGAATGATATTTTGGAAAATCTTATAGCTTTAGCTGCTAATCCAGTATTAGGAAAATTAAAACAATGTGATATTACCACTTCACCAGAACTATCCAAATATTGTTGTCATTTGCTTGCAAGAGTGGTAGCGGAATTAGTGCTTCAATGTAGTACGACAGAAGTATGTTTGCTATACAATACAACTATAATTTCTTTACCTGTTTTACTCCTAGGAAGAACTTCAATCTTTTGGTCGCACTTTATACATAACGCCATCACGTTTCACTAGAATAAACCAATCACGAACATGGAATACTGGAAATGGATCACCTGATGCAATATGTTTTCAAGTTGATAGAGAGGGTATATCAATAATTGGTGTAGGAGTTTATGGTGGAATTGGGCATTATGAATATGAACTAGAATTATTAGAAGATGTAAGTTTCTTTTTGATTTTATTTTCATTGGGATATAATTATTAAGATGGCCTTCAGACAAACTAATATTATAAAACTCAAAAGATGACTTGGGTGTACGGTGTAAAATGTTTATATCATTCATTCATAGTACAGAGTAAAAATATTGACTTTATGGAAAGTATGATGTCAGTAACAAATATGTAGAGATTCTGGCTAATGACAATCTATTTACAGGCAGATAGTGAAATCTGATGATGGCTCTATAATGGGTGTCTCAGAATATGTGGGCAATCTCTCGGACTTATACACGGGACGTTAAAATAACATGACAAGTTCCTATACAAATTTTCCTCAGAGGCCCCTAAAGGATGCATCTGAGTATCGATTTTTTTTAATAACTTTTTAAAAATACTTTGTGTAATTTAAATATTCTTTAATATGATGAACAACAGATAAGACTCCTTAAAAATTGACCCATGAAAACAATTTGGCTTATTTGGTTTGTCAGGGACGGACTAACTAACAATAGTGACAATTTTTTACACCCTTTTTTTAGATAGCTTGAACCGTCAACTAAAAAAAGGCACTTTTGGTTGATATCAATAAAATGAACTGTTTTAGGGAAAAAAATATTTTTGTTTAATATGATTTTTATTAAATCCGTAAAGAGAAATAAACCCATGAAATTTGCATTCTTTCTGTGCCTATGTAAAAATTGTCACTTTTATTTACACTTGTTTTTCTCTTCCTTTTTTGTTATTATTTTTTTGCATTTACGTATTTAAATAAGCATTACAATACCTACTAGGGAAAACTTATTAGAAAGGATTAATTTTCATTGTCGCCCAGCCAGAAAGGGCCCTTTCTTTTGGCGCTCCTCTTTCTTCGTGGGCTCATCTCAGGGGGGGTGTCGTATGTGGGTGAGGTCATGCAGCTATGCAGCTTAGGAAGCGTTGTGTTAAGGTGTCCATTAAGCTAATTAAGCTAACGCGGGAGGGGAGAGTGGAGTAAAGAAAGTAGAGGGGAGATGTGTGTGTGTGCATGTCGTCGTTTTTGGTTCTTGATCCTGGCGGTCCTGAAACAGGTAGAAAAATTTCGACTTACCTTGCGTCCTGGAGTTGATGTCTAAGCCGCCTGCATCTGTCGGCAGCCTCTGCGGATCAACGAGTTGCTGTGTCTGATCACTTTCAGGGTATTCAAAAGTTTTTATACCTGTTCCCTAAATATGTTTGTCTCGGCTCTGGCCTTTCCGGGGTTTCATCCCCTCTTGATCTTTACGCCACGAATTTATAGCAGTGTCAGCCAGTGTGGCCAACACGGTATATTTGATACTAAATCTGGTATTTTGAACGTCCCATTTAGTATTGAAATTTAGAATTTAGTCTATAGTATTTAGTAAGTATTTTTAATTTTAAACTAGAGTATGTTCTAGTATTTCCTTGTTATCTTATTATCGAAAATCATGAAGATTCTGCCACAGTCCTGATCGTAAATAATTAGCGAAACAAAAGTTAAGTTGTAATTTGATCTCTTTTTAAAGTACCTAGGCGTTCCGTTCTTCTATCTATGATTGTTCTATATTCCTTTCCGTTGTGTCACCAGACCATCATTTCCTTACTTTTATATCGGTTTTAAGGTTAGTCGTTTTTTCAGTTAAATCTAAATCCTTAAAATAACCCAAACCAAACTACCATTAATGAATTGTACTAAATTGGTAAACAAAAAGGCAAAATGTTATCTATTTGTTTTTTCATAGTTTAATATTGATAATTTTTTTCTTAGTACTTTATAGTATCTCCAGAACACTTCAAGTTAACCCCACTTTCAATTTGTTTCTAATTTTCTTGTAAATTACCAGGTTTTAGCATATTCTATTTTTTTTGTACCAATAATTGGTATTTACTATTAACCCGAAGTCGACAACCCTGGTGCTAGCTGCTCACCCCAGTGTGGCTTTGGTAAGCATCATGGATATAAATTATAAGTGAAAGAGAAATAAATTTAATTATCCAACGTTAAAAAAGGAAAAAGGTCAGTTATTTGAAAAAAAAAAAATATTTTCAACGTTTACTAATATTATAGTAAAAAAAATCTCGCTCTCTAACGCACGCTCGTTATTACTAATATCGTACGTTTTAATAATGGTGCAAGTTCAGAAAATTATAATTATTTAAATTAGGAATTTTAAACAACCTCGCGCGCAAAAATTTTAGTCACGTCTACCGAAACTTTAGCCAATTTGTATCGAAGGTAGAAAATGTTTATTTGACAATAATTATCGTAAATTACTTATAGGCAAAAAAGCAGCTAGGTAGATTTTAATTTAATCCCGATATGATTAATAAATAATAATTATTCAGAGCGATTTACAGCGGATTGGCGCAGCGACTACCTCGGGAGATCGTGCATTCCATTGCGTCTATCAAGGTTTTACACCCTTAGATGATCGGTAGACTATTTTCTTTAGTTCCCTTACAAACTAAAGTATTTGAGAAAAAAAAGTCAGCCTTGTAGAAATAAGTCAAAAATGTTAATTTTTCGTCATCTTGCGTGAGTGGTAGACCCTTCATGGCTTTCGACGTAGTAGACTATTATTATGCTGTACTTTTAGGTATAATTAATCACTATAAAAAGTTTCACACTTATAGGTATAAGACATTTACGTATTATTTATGCATGTTTCAAAAATTATTATTAATGTTTGCCCCTACATTGACGTGGTAGACTGCCGTACCGTTTAGTTATCATATCAAAACTACGAAATGAGAAAAAATCAGTTTTGTAGGAATTGGTGCAAAATTTCTGTCGCTGCTTCCTGGACTAATAGCAATTCAGTATATTTTAGTGACGAAGTATACCAATCTTAATAGTATATCTACTCCATTTAGTTCATGTTCTTATAAGAAACCTTACGATCATGCCAATCACTCCTTATCCTCGAAAGCGATCCATACGCGATGAGGGAATAAAAGCTATATATCAACACGTTAATATTATTATGAAGTTTAGCATACTAAGATATTTGTTCCAATGAGCATAATAATTAATCTAATAAGAAAATGTTTAGACTTCATAATTAGCTTAATTTAGCTTACTAGTAATAATTAAAAAATTATATTTAAAAATAACATTTTTTAACGCATCAGAACAGCTCACTAGATGGTGAAAATCAGGTGCATTCACATAGATGGAATAGCTTAGAGGTATCAAGGGGATCTTATGGACCAGAAGATTTTGCTCCAGATATTATAGAAATAAAATTTGGGAGACCTGTTCCCATAAAGGTGAGTCTTACACATTTTTATACAAAACATAGATTATACATGGTGATTAAAAAAACCGTGGACAGACTTCTAGGGCAGACATGAAAAAATAAGACAAGACGTCTTAACGTATATGGGGTCTTAGACGCCTCCCTAACGAGATACAGGGTGTCAAAGTTTCCTTTTCTCGTTAAATAGACGCAATTTTCATAAATATTATTTAATTAGCTATGAATGGAAAATTTGGATGCAATTAACAGTTTCTAAGTAATGTGAGTTTGAAGTAAATTTGTAATAAATAGGAACACCGAATTATTATTATGAATTAAATAGTAACTAATAACTAATAGTAATAATGTCTTTTACGCATATTTCTGCCCTGCGGGCTAAGGATGTTCTTATCCTCCCAAAAATGGCGGGCGTATTACGGATAGTGTTGAAAGCCTGCTGTATGCGTTGCCACAATTCTTCATTAGTACTTGCAGGAGTTGTGTAAACTAGTTCCTTAATATGACCCCAAGTGTGGAAGTCAAGGGGGTTCAAGTCCGGGGAATGAGGAGGCCACCGTACTGGACCACCACGGTCAATCCACTATCTGGGATATGTTACATCTAAGGCCCAGCTTAGGCCTGCCGTGTGGACCGTGAAATTATCACCAACGGTCGCTTGGGCTGTAGTAGTTTAGTACCACTCTAGACTATGGCGGAACCAAATATTGGCAATAATGTATTGGAATTTTTGGCCTTATATGAACGGTATTCCAAGATATGGGACCCAAAAAATGTTAATCATAAAAATAGGAATAAAGTGTTTGATGCCTGGAATAAGATGTGGAGAACACACATTGGGATTGGCACATGTTGGCCCAGTTTTACCAATTACACATTGGCTCAGCCTGGCCATTCCGTGTAGCGCCGGCTTAAGTAATCCCTAACTACACGAGCAAAGTGTGCTGGTGCCCCGTCGTACTGGAACCAAGTATTCCTTCGCACATTTAGCAGCACGTTTAGCAGCATATCTAATAAACCATTCAAATCGTTGATCAGAAGATGTAAATAACAATGACCGTCGGTATTTGCTACCATGAAAGGACCAAGAAGCATATTATCAACGATTCCACCATGAACGTTGATTAAAAATTCGTGTTGAAACCTATATGCATGAATTGCATGAGGATTTTCTTCGCACCACATGTGTTGATTATGAAAGTTAATTATACCTCATCTAGTAAATGACTCTTCATCAGTGAAACAAATATTTTTGGAGAACTAGGATTTTCCGCCAATGTATCAAGGAACCACCGTGAAAAGTCCAACCTTAGTGGGTAATCTTATGGTAATAAATGTTGCATACGTTGCAGGTGGTACGGGTATAAGTGTTGATTGCGGAGCGTTCTCCAAACTGATGAGTGAGATTTATTTAAAGTTTCGGGTACTCAATGTGTTATCGTTTTCTATTGACAGCAGGATAACTTCCTTTCCGTCTGGAGTTCTAACATAACGCTGTCGACGAGAATGATTTTTTTTTGTTTTAATATACCTGATTTTCTCAAACATCTATCAATATTATCGGTTTGGGGTCCTACGACCTGGAAACAGTTCTATGTATCTTCTGGCTGCTTCCCGTGAGACAAAATTTGCAGGTCCATAACAGAAGTGCATATCCTCCATTTCTTCGAAAGAATATTCATAATTCATTTTGTTAAAAAATAATTAAAATTATAATAATCACAGGAACAACTTGTATTATAGGTAGCTTACTTATTACTTATTTAATTTACACTACTTATTTATTCATAATGTTGACAGCTGCTGTTTCATTGTCTATTTCGATGTCACAAATTGAAATAATGTAGGTAAAGTGAAATTGTTACAAAATTTACTTCAAACCCACAAAACCGTTAATTGCATGTGAATTTTCCAAGAGGTCAAATTCATAGCTAAGTAAATAATATTATAAACATTGCGTCTATTTAACGCAAAGTGGAATCTTTGAGATACCCCGTATCCTGTTAGGGAGGCATCTGAGAACCCATATTCATTAAGACGTTTTGTCTTATTTTTTCATGTACTATCTGCCCTAGAAGTCCGTCCACGGTTTTTTGAATCACCCTGTATATAACATAACTCCAAAAACTGCATTTTAATAGTAATGTTTAAATTACCAAATTTTTATCAATACCAAAAGATCAAATTAATAAACTCACAACAGTCTTTTAAATACGAATTATGTTTCGTTTCTTATGTTGCCGTGTTATGCACTGCTATTTAATTTGCTCTAATGTCGTAGTATTCCTTTAGGTCCTATCGGCAGTGAGTAATTTTTTAAATTCTATGTTAATCAGGGAAGCCCTAGAGGCCAAATTCAAAATTGAAAGAATAAGCATCTTCCTATTTAAAAAAATATACGTCTGGTGTAACGTAAAATATAAGAAATAAAGTTACCTACACAATATTTATTTCAAAAAAAGAATTTTTCATTTTAGTACAACTGCTTGTACTTTTATAAATGTAATAATTTTAGGAAAATGTAAAATATGCTATTCGGTTGAGAAATCATGGTGGCAGAACTAGTAATGGTGATGGAGGCTTAACTTTTGTGAGAGGACCCGATAATACTACTTTTACTTTTTCTACATGTTCCTTAAGTTTCAATGGAACTACACTTACCAGAGGACAAATTCCTGTATTATTATATTACAGGTGAGGAAACTTTAAACACACGATTTATTTGTCAGCAGCTTAATGTTACTAAAATGTAATATTTTGAACACCCACTTTTTTCGAATACAATCCCACACAATTCTCCACTGTTATTTTAACGTGTAACAACTCTAATGGTTCGGACCAGATTTTTTTTTAGTAGAACTAAACTGTTACTATATGTATTCAGGGTGATTCATTAACAATGGGAAAGTCGAAAACTGAAGATATTACACGTGAAATGGTGACCATTGGCGCAAACATGCCTTATCCGAAAGTTGATAGTTTCGGAAATACAGGGTGTTGAAAGTTAAAATTTTAAATAGTTTTTTGCGATTATTCTGAAAATATGTAAGTAGGGTATTTTTACCGTTTGGGAGTCTCCCCCCTCCACTTTCTGGCTTGGGATGACCTTGAGGCCGAAGGCCGATGACGTTGG